TCAAGCTCAGTGATTTGTCAAGCTCAGTGATTTGTTCCCACCACTGTCACATGCATCTTCAAACTGGCCTTTTATAATTTATAGCAGGTGACTGGCATTTAACTATAGCTGGCAAATATCCTTGGACATTCTATTCTACACATTCTCTAAAATACACTACAGGATAAAAATGGCTGTCATTTATCCTAAGCCGAAATTTAGGGAAAAGAGCAAATAATGGAGCTTCTAGCTCCACTACCAGCTTATTACCAATGAATTACAGGCGTGTGTCCATTGTCTGGATTAAGGGAGCATTGAGATTCCCCTAGGAACATCAGAACTTGGCTGAGAAAGGCAGGTGCTCTGTGAGTACTGGGAGAAGCACTGGAGAGCACGAGACGGGGAGGCTTAAAACTCTCTAACGGGGCACAACATTAGGCCAAAGCTGCACATCAACTCTGCCGCGGCCTGGCTCGTGTCGGTGTGAGCAGGTAACTGAAACAGCCTTGCACGAGTGGGGCTGAGCTACTCGCCCAGCCTGCGGCGCGATAGCTCCGCGTGAAGGCAACGCGCGCGTCTGCGTGGAGGATCTGAAACCGCGATACGCTGCAGAGAGAAGCTATGAGTGGCCCATAACTAAATTAGAAGAGAAACAGAGCAAATGCCTCTGCATTAGTCTGCTACGGGAGATACGCTGCAGAGAGAAGCTATGAGTGGCCCATAACTAAATTAGAAGAGAAACAGAGCAAATGCCTCTGCATTAGTCTGCTACGGGAACTGTTCGAAGCTACACTAGCAAAGCGACGCATTTGCTTGCAACAACTTGTTAGCTCTTTTAATGAGCAATTCCTAGCCATCACGCTGACCCATCAGGAGACTGCTTTAAAAGTATTAACAGATGACTGTAAAAGCAGAAGCATTTCAAAAAGATCTGTTCCATTGAGAAGCAGGATACTATGCTAGTGTCACAGGGGGACAAAAATATTTACTAACCAATTGTCTGACTAATACTGAGTAACATTTAGCAGTAAGAAAATGCTTTTCTGGCACTGCGCCTAGGGTATTTGCACACAAGATCTCTTGAAGGCCAAGGAAATTTCTGGCTTGATGGGGATAATTGTAATCTTTGGAAATTACAAGAGATGGGAAGTGCATCACTGTTTGAGCAGGGTGCAGAGGGGTGACCAGATGCCTGCAGATGCTCTCCTTGATGTAACAGGCAAGCAAAAAAAAAAAAAAAGGAAAACTGACGGGGGATTTGGTTAATAAAGAATTCAAGGTTACAACTACAGCTATTTCTTGGCAACATGACTCTGTATAAAACAGGTGTTGTGAAATAAAGCCTGCTTAATTCCTAGAGATTATGTGGCTGATAAAGATGTCAGAATTAAACCTGGGAGTGTGATGGAACAAGGCAGTGCTCATTATTAGCAGAGCACACGCCCTGTGGATTAGGAAGTGCCAACATCCTGCCTGAACCAGGTGTTTCTAATGAGGCTCGGCAGGATCCACACCAGGTCTCCATGTGTTGAACAGTCCTTTCCGCGATCTGGAACTAAACCCAAAGTCACACCAGGTGGGGGAGTTGGGAGGAATAGAAAAGAACACAGAGGATAAGTAAGTTGCACAGAGCAATTTCAGAATCTGGTCACGTGAAAACGCATCATCTTTTTAATGCAGCCAAATGACAAGGTTAGAAAGTTTGGAGCCGGCGCTGCAGGCTGCACCTACAGATTATGGTCTGCCCTTGGGAAGGCACCAATTCTGCAAGGATTTTAGGGTTGTAATGAACAAGCAACCCAATGCAAATTCCCAGGATGATGCTTAAACACAGGAGACTAATGAAGCCCTTGGATGTAAGGAATTTTAATGGCCGGGGCTACAGGAAGATCAGGCAACTCTATCATTACCCTTTCTACCATTTAATATTCCAAGTCAGAGAACAGCATCTATAGTAGAAGAGCTTGCTTCCATACCTGAAATGGCAAYTCCTTCAAGTACAAACACTGATGAAGCCTAGCTTCAACATGAGCATTAACATAAATGCATTAAAACCAATTTCTAGGCTGAATTTTTAGGAACCCGATCCCAGATATTAAAGCAGCAGTGATTCCTGGTACACCCAATAGTAACATCTCTTGACGTACTTCCAAGGTTTTCAATTGTTGCACTATAACCAAAAGAGAACTAAATTCCTGCCAACTCAACTAAAAATCTTGATGTCAAGTTTGGTTCTTTAGCACGGAACATCTTTTTTAGGGAGTCTGTGGACTTATTCCCTTATTTAGGGAATAAGTGGATTTGGTTGGCTGTCTGGGGCTACAAAATACCTTTTTGGAGGAAGGAAGTGCTGTTGATGCAGGTGTGATTGGTTAAGGGTATAAACAATTTGTAGAGAAGAGTAATATCCTTGCTAGACCAAGTGATATTGTGTAGAGGAAAAAAAAAAAATGAGGGCACATAAAGAATATACAAACTTTGGGCTAAATTGAGAAAAACCTGCTCTGAACTTATTGTCTGGACAGTCTGAGAGGTGGCAGTAAGAAAGAAGTGGCCAGTAGCAACAGGAGGGATAGCTAGTCACTACTATCCAAGCCTGTGATGGCTCTCTGTCTGTTTTACCATTATCAATTTCTGAATTTACCATTTCTGTCTATAGCACAGAAGTAGATCAAATTTCTGAAACAGGAGGCTGTTACTTTTGCTTTTCTTCTTCTGAAAAAGAAAAAGGCAGCTAAACTAACTTTGACTGACAAGCAGATTTCCACCCCACCACAACAGTGGCTTTCASCCTGTGGTACACAGACTGAGACTATTTAAGAAATCTGCAATAGGTGACTAACACAAGCACGCCTGAAAGAAGCTTAAAAATACAGCCCAGTGGGATCTACTCCTCCCCTGGAGTATTTTTTAGTAGTTGGAAAACTCAGAAGGTTGCAGATCCTTGTAAAGGCTGCTGAAATCTTCACAGAGAAAGAGGATGAGGAGCTAATAARTAGGATTTGGCTGTCAGGCCTTGTCAAACTTTTGCTGTGTCTAGTTGTGGGTCTCCTCTAACACGTCGATGTTATGCAATCCAGAGCAGGGTGAGGATCCCTGAGCCTCCCTTATTTCATGTCTCTAGCTCTCTTCTGGAAGCCCCATTAGCAGAATAAACTGCTTTCCCCTTTGTATTTACTCCATGTAGAGCAGAAAGAAGTCCCCACTGCTTTTTGTCCTGGTATCCTTGTTTAATTTCTTTATTCCAAATGCTCCCAGGCTGGATTCTGTGTGCTATTCAGTGACACCCTCCAGCTGGCACCACACCGGCTGACTAGAGCATCCCAAGAGCTCTCAGCCTTTGTTATCGTGTGCTGCCCATCAAGCATCCACRTCGATTAGCACAGGATTGCCAAGTCATGATGAAAGAATGCTAATACTGCTGACTAAACCTGCACGGATTACGGAGCCGCAGACACGTTTGTCACGGAGCTTGTGAAAATTTGTGTAGAGCTGTAATTAATTCCCTCCCCCCAATAGCAATGAAGCAAAATATCAACAGCTGCCTCAAGAAAAGCTGACCTGCATGATGTTTGGGCAGCAGCTCCACTTCTCCCTACAGGCCCCTCTGTTTCATTGGGAGAAGATGGGGATGGAGCGGTCGTGCTGCATCCAAACAGTGGGAGCTGTGGTGGCTCCTGCCCATCTGTGTAACAGAAATCAAGGAATTGGGTCTTGTAGATCTATGTGTTCTGGCTAAGCGGAGCAGTCGCAAGCAACACGGACTATATTTCAGATACTGGAGTAAGAGGAGGTTTGATGTCCTGCTCTACTCGCCCGGGCAGCTTGGTGCAGAGGGGGACCAACAGCAGCAGTGCAAACAAGACCACAGGGAGGGACAAAACCAGAGCACATTTATCCCTGGAAATGCCAGGGGATGAGCAGGYCTCCCAAAATCTCATGCCCATTATTGCTACACAGAGACAGATCTCTGCAGGGCCTAAGGCGCCTCCCCACACCTTTAATGTGCCAGGCCTCCCACACAAGARAGGGTGTGGAGTCTCCTTCTCCGGAGGTCTCCCAAACCGGCCTGGATGCCGCCCTGTGCCCCGTGCTCCGGGTGTCCCTGCTGGAGCRGGGGGGTTGGACTAGGTGAGCTCTAGAGGTCCCTTCCAACCTCAACCGTTCTGTGAGTCTGTGAGAAGGAGTGCATGAGGGCACAGCTGGGCTTTTGGACACAGGAGGAAATAAATATATAATAATAAATAAATAATAAATAAATAAATGATTTTTTTTCCCCCTTTCCTCTTCCCCAGACCACAGCCCGACCCGGAGCCTCCTCGGAGGCCCAGGCAGCTCCTGCTCTGTCCCAGCTCAGTCCTGCTGCCTCCCGCCCTGCGGGTCTCRCTTGGCCCCGTGCCCCGCGGGGAGGCGCCCAGCCCGGCCAAGGCGCGCCAAGAAAGTAAGTTAATAAGTAATAATAAATAAACACATAAGCACAAAATTATTTCCTGGCTGCTCGGGGGAAGGTGTGGGCACCGGGGTGCCGCGGGGCGCTCCAGCGCCGGGGAGGGTTTGGGCTGGCTGCGGGTGACAGCCCAGCACCCCGCGGAGGAACCGGGAGCTGCGGAGAGCCCGGGGCTCCGGACACAACGGAGTGGGGGAGACAAAAACGCCCCCGGGAACGTGAAACGGGGGCACAAACACGGGGCTCAAACGGGGCCCTCGGCAGGACCGGGCGCCGCGGAGAGCGGGAAGCGACGCCCGCCCCCAGCGCCGCCGCCGCGTGACGTCACGCCCGGTGGCGGGCGGCCCCACGTGTCGCGCTCCGGGGCGGGCCTCCCGCCTGAGGCCGCTCACGTGACGCGGGCGGAAGGGCGGAGCGCGCGCGCGCGCGCGCCGGCGGTGCGTCAGGGGCGGGGCCGGGGCGCGCGCGCGTCGCGTCACGTCGCGTCACGTGGCGGGGGAGCGGCCTCGCGCGCGCGTGGAGGAGGAGGAGGAGGAGGGGGAGCGGGAGGCGAGGGGCGGTCACGTGACGCTGGTGGGCGCCGCTGCTGCTTTGTGAGCACATTGGGCAGGTACCGAGCGGGGCCGCGCGCGCGGGGGGGCCGGGGGGACCAGCGGGAGGGGGGCGCG